GGATTCTATGATTCTATGATTTTTTTGACTTTAAAGTTTCTGGGTCTATTAGTTGAGACTAAAGTTATAGCTGGAATTTCTTCCTTCATATCATCAGGTCTGGCAAAATGAGAAATAATGCCCTAAAATCTGGAGATGAAGACTGCAGTTGCTGTTTTGGTGCCAGGTGCATTTTTAGAAAGAGAATAAAATCCAAATCTATAATCTGCAGTAGCAAGTAGTGATACTTGCTCTGTTATGCTGTATTTTTATTGAAAGTTGGAAAAGAGCTGCTTCATAGTATATGCTCAGATTAGGTAAGACTAGCCAGAAAATTTTCCATAGTGTAGGGAGATGTGAATTACTCCCTAGCTCTCCTGTAAGTCTGTGTAACTCACATTCGAAAACTAGGGGGAAAAAAAAAAAAGAGAATTTCCAGAAAAAAACCAGTATTTTTTCAGTTGATTCTGTTGAATACATTATACCTTACATCAGGTGTCTTGTGAAATAACTCTTTGCAAATTTGTAACCAAATGCAAATTTACTCCTTTCTGGGGTTTAGTATTTCAGTTATTCCATACAATGTATTTACTAGCTTCTGTTTTTGTACAGCTATAAACTGTTTCCTGATGCTAGGAGTGAAAATAAGTATTCAGTAATGAGAAGGAAATATTGGTTATATCTTTCAGTGCATTTGGGTTGTCAATGTAGAGTGAATTAATTTAGTTTACCATGTTTTTATATTTTTTTTTCTTTTCTGATTTTAAACTTCTAAATTCACCTCATAACAAGCCAGGAGAAGTAATTCTTTGGCACTATTTTTATATTATGCTTTTTAGGTTGGTATGTTACGAAGGACATACACGCCAGAAGTAAGAGAACAGGTCAATAAGAATTGTAAATCTTTCTCATAAGCATTTGATTCTTAAAAGCTCTACCAGGCAACAACAGGCAGAGAGGAAGAGCTATTTTCAGCCTCTCTGAACACATTTGATTTAAGTTTCTACTGAAATATATTAATGATTTGTCAGGGAAACGACTCTTCAATTTTATTTTTGAGATTTGGCATAAAACCCAAGAAGTGTGGTTTTTAATATACAACTCATCTTTAGGCTTGTTTGATTTAGACATCTACTTCTACCCTTGATCCACAGGAAAATTCCAAGTATATCCGAAATAATAGTAGAATTATGCAAGTATCAGCTCGTACACTGTGTTTATTTCAGAAAAGCAATAGAATGACCCTTGTCTCCAGAATTTTAATGGATTAAAGTATTATACATTATACATTAATTCTGTATTTTGACTAGAAAGTTTGTGGAAGCATGCCCTTTAGGAAAAAAAAAAAAAAAAAGTCTTCAGATAAAATGGAAATACAGACTCTGAAGCAGAGATTCGTGAACCAAGACTCTCCTTCCCAAATCAGGGTTGCATAGAAGAGGGATATTTAGACATACCCATTTTCCTAATGTCTTCAGCTGGCTTATGTAGTCCTTCTGTTTGAGTCCTAACTGTCAATCTTAGTCCTTGATGCTGATAGCTCCCTATTTATGGTGTAGCGCAGGTATGTTAATTCTACTTCTAAGACTAGTCTTGGTACCGCTGGTGGGTGGGCGTCACTATGTCTCTGTTCCTTCATAGATGTAGCCCAAAGTAGTTTTTACAGAACTATGTGCAAGCAATTTGTTTAATCTTGTAGAATCTGCTCCTTGGAGGTATTGATGGTAATTAGTACTATTGTCCATAGTCCTTGGATAGAAAACAGGTACTGGAAGAAAGATGAATGTGAAGGTTTCTTCTAGCATTGGTAAGCTAAGTAGTATAGCTGATGACTTTGTAACAGAAGTATGAGCAAAGATGGTACTGGAGGAATTAATATCAAGTTACGAACTTGGTTCCCAAATGATTTTAAATAAGTTACTGACATAAATTAAGTGACTTACAGAATACATGTTCCTGCATTGAGTGATCTAGATATCATCTGTCCAGATGCATGTAGGATGTTTTGCATTTTTAAATTTTCTCTCTCAGGTCCATAATATATTGGCAGAAATGGTCATGGGTGGAATGGTTTTGGAGACCAACATGAATGAAATTGTCACTCAGATTGATGCTCAAAACAAACTGGAGAAATCTGAGGTAAGAGCGACTCACTGTATAGTTTCTGAACTAAAACCATGGTTCAGTAAATGCCTGTTATATAATGCTGTTTGTCCTCAAACTATATACAGCTGCTTGCTTCTAATGCTAAAACCTGACAGTGTTTGGTTAGGGTGTCATGCCTTTTGTCATAAGTAATAATTGCTTAGAGTTGCTGCTGATTAGTTTTTGCTATTTGTATCTAATAGCATTGTGTGTCATTGCTATTGAGATACTTCTGTAGTTCCCTAAGTTTTTCTTGCAGAAAGCGTTTTATTTCCAGTGTATTTATTATGCTGTACTAGTGACTGTAATACCTGAATAAAGAACCAGAGTGTGTATACAAAGACTACATATTCCTGTCTGCTAGTACGTTTCTGGGACCTGAAATAAGTGGGAGCATGTTTAGTGTCACAATAATACTGCAACACAAAATGATAAACCGGACCGAAATGGGCTAGACAGACTTTAAAGCCCAGTTTTAGACCCTTTGAAGTACATGCAAATACTGCTCTATTGATAATCTGAGCATTTGATCTGAAGTTGAGTAGATTCAAGTGAGAAAACGATATCCTGTATAGTCCGTAACAGTCTGAACGAGGGATACTCATGTAAGTTGTCAGAGTCCCTTTTCAATTCAACAGTTGTTGAATTTGGGTTTAGGAAAGAAACTTAGAATAAGAAAGGATTTTAGAATTACTTCAGCGAAGACACAGAGTATTAGTGTTCCTTTAACATCACCGGGCATGCCTTATAAGCCAAAATACTGCTAGTACATCTTAGATAAGTCTGTGATTGATTCTTACTGATGAAAGTATTTCCAGGGAAGAACACACTATCTGATTTTCAAACCATAATATTCAAATTTCTAAACAAATCTTTGCTTCAGCTGGAGCCTAAAGTTGAAGTAAGCTGAGTAGATTGAGATATTGCTGGTGGCATAAAGTAAATGACATTTCAGGACAAGACCCATCAAACTTCCTAGCTTTAACTTAAATGCAACAAAAAAATTAATTCTTCAGCTTGTTTGTGGTACAATGTATACTGTTCTCCTAACTCTGTGATCTCACACAGGCTACCTGAAATCTTTTTATGCTTTTAACTATCTGTTTTCCTAACTGTATGCAAAACCAGGACAATACTGTGTGAAAAACAGGAGGAAGCTTTGATAAGAGGAAGTATGATAAGATACTGTGCATAGCAGTATATGGATTTTATTGTAGATTATGAAGATACCCAAAGCGTTCATTTTAACATTTTTCTCAAACTCAGAATGAGCCACTGATCACAGAGTTGACTATTTAGAATTTTTCTCATAAATTTTTACTATAGTTTAATAACTTCTGTATATGTAATTTTTCTTTCTTTGACCAAAAAATAAGTGTCCCAAAAGTTGAACATACTGAGCAGCTATGTTCTGCCATGTTATTATGTGCACACCAGTTTTACCTAAAAGCATTTAGTAAAGGCATTTATTCAGTTTTATGTCATATGTTTATAATTCAGAATTATGTCAGTTCTGTTAGCAAATTAACTCTAGACCAGTCTCTGAATAGTCATCTGAAACATCATTTCACTGCAGACAGCTGCAATACCCACTGTTTTCCATTATTCATCAGTAAGTTGTTCTTTAAGACGCTTTTAATATACAAATAGGCACTGGAAAACACAAAAAAACCATATAGAGATCAGAGCATATGCAAGGCAAATAGCAACTTGTTCCTTTACATTCAGCAATGAATTATAGAAGGTAAAGAAGTAGTAGTGATACATTAAAGTACTTGGTGACTGGGATGAAGCAGAACATTTCACAGTCTTCTCACCACAAATGTATTTTTTCTTGTTAGTTCAGTGACTGTTTATTTTCAAATTTAACAGTTACTGTAGTGCTGAGGTACTTCACAATACTATTTCCTAAGATCGTAGATAATATGTTTCATGTATATCCACAGAAATTTCCTGATTGCTACTTCTTTCCCTCTTGTCTTTTTGATCAAGATTGTAAATCAGCATGTCTTCTGGAACATGTATTTTCAAGATAGAAGCAAATCCAGTTCATGAAAATCAATATTAGTAATAACTTAATAATATATTTTAATGCCAGTTACTAAGAAATCAAAACTAGTGAATATAATTAGTTTTCTCTAATTAAAAAGAACATCCCACATTATTTTTAAAATTTCAAAATTATTATTGAAGTAGTCTGTAGTTCATAGGACTGCCACCTATGCCTCAGCACTCTTGCTTTAGTCTGGCTTGCTAGACCTTCATCATAGTTCTTGCATCCATAAAATAGCTGCTTCAAGATTAAAGTGTCTTTTCTTTTATAGCTGAGATGATGAAGCTAAAAAAGTTGAAATCAAGGTACTTTTTTAGAAATAATTTGAATTTCATATTGTGCCCACCTGGCTTCCCTTCATACAAAAAATTTAGCAATTTGACATGAGGGATCTGTTTAGTTACATATTAAGTTTCTAAAAAAAGCCTTCAGTTAGAAGTTAGTGAAGAAGATCAGATGCACTTATTAAATTAAAAAATATTTGAGCAAAGTTATCACTCAAAGAATTTGTTAAAGCTTTCAATGGAGATTAATTATTTAAACCACTATGAGGGAATACTTAGCTTTGTTTTCTGATTCAGCTCTTATGTTGCTTGGATGGGCTACAAAGGAAATTCTATTTCTACCCTGAGAAATGTTGTCTTAAATGCATTTCCCTACCTTTCAGTTTAGTGTTATCTGTGAATGGATTTCTGGTCAATCCACCTAAAGCCAAAGGAACATTGTGATTAAGGGAGGGAATTTTGGGAAAGGGGTCATTGGGATTTTATGCAGAGCCTCTGAAAGCATTGTAGGTAAACATGGGCTACCTCTTCTCTATTTGGAGTGTTCAACTGCGTGTGATTTAGACTTTTAAGTTGGACCACATTTTTTTTCTGAACCTCCTGATCTTTTCTAGCTCTTTCCATTCTTCTCTCTTACAGACCTTTATCTTTCAGTCTCCCAGACAGGACAGGTAGACAAAGGTATTGCTGACTTTTAGAAAAAATGTACTTTTAACAAAAAGGGAAAGCAAAATGATGTCAAAGGCAATAAATTACGTAGGCCAGACTCAAAAATTATGTGTAAAAATACCCATGCTAGTCCTTGTAGCCTACTTTTTGTGGTAGTTTCTTCTTGTAGTTCCCTCATCTTTTTATTGGCTGTAGTGTATTTTACTAGCTTTCCATTGACATTGTATTTTTTATTTTATTTATCTTCCTGCGTTTTAGAATTTATATTTTCTTTATATCATTGTTTAAGAAACAAAGGAATATGAACTTGTATAAATATTATTTAAAAAATCTGCAAAACTAATCTGAATAAAAATTGAACAACAGATAAGAAAATATGATGTAATAGAAATAGCTTCCTTATTGGGAGAATTTTGTACCTAAAGTAGGTAATACAAACTCTTTTTCTCACCATTTAGTCTTTTGAACTGAAAGCAAAGAACTTTTGCCTGCTTAGAGAGAGAAGTTTCAGAGAAAGTTTCAGGTGAACAAAATATTATAAAACAAAACAAAAATTAAACCAAACAAACCCACAAACTCAAATAGTTTTGTACATACAGAATAAAATTATCTGTGCAATTTGTAAGGATGATGTAGAAATATCAAAGCTGATCTTTCAACCTTAAGTATAAAACGAGGAGGGCTGTCGGCATGTACTTGAGTTCAGATGTACATTTGCTGCCTTTGCATTTTGAATCACTGGATTTTGCTCTAAGATATCTTGGAAACTGCTACATTTGGCATGAATATTAACAAGGAACTGGAAAAGGCAGAAAATGTGTGTTTGAAGTGCGGTTTATGATCATCATCCTCATCGCTTGCTGTTTGAAACATTTAGCTCAGCTCAGCAGTTTCAGTATCAGTCAATGTAATTGCAGTACTTCAAAATTCATTTCCTCTTATTTTAAGTATCTGTGCATTCAAACCGCAGATACTTTAAATAGCTGGAACCTTAAGCAGATGAAGATTTTTTAATTTATTAATAGCTTTGCTGTTTACATTTTACATGATCTTTCTAGGATAAAGTAATGTAATACTTTCAAGATTTAACGAATATAATTCTGTAATTAGACTTAGTAGCTCTAAGTTGTAAAGCATTAGCTAAATATATTTTTGGGCAGTAGGAAACATTTTACCTAAATTTGAAGAAAATCAAGCAAATGACCTTCCTCTACCTAATATGTTAATATTTGTAACATATAATCTGTATTTCATTGTACCAGTAGGGAGCTTGATTTCAGGTGTTAGTTTTTTTTTTTTTTTTAATTTCTTATTTGTGCAGAGTTACTTTTCTTTTTCTCTGTTCTGCTCACACATATTCTGTTTTTATTTTTGGGTCTGGCAATGAAAAACAAACAAATAATTAATCATTCCCATCCATTACTCTCTTTGTGACTGAAGTGCTTAAAATTTCTAAGAGTATGTCTTAAGTCTTCGTATCTGTTTGGCCTCATTTTGATATACTTGCAGACTTCATTTTGTTTTTTCTCTAATTATGTTCATTTATTTAACTTCATAAAGAGGGGACATGATCATTCCTTTATATTACATATTGCATCCTTCCATGATTTCATAACCCTGCTGCTTTGAAGTCATACTTGTTCTGGAAAGAAGCATTGGTATGAAACACCAGCAGCAGAGAGGGCCTAGTACCTCTGAAATATCTGGAAAAGGGTGGCTTGTTTTGCAAAGCATTAGCCTTCATTATTTTGTTTTCCACTAGGCTGTATATTTTTATACGTTTATTTTAGTGATAGCTATCTCTTTGTAGAGTTGTTTGGGATGGCGGTTTTATTTATCTTTTTTTCCTGTTTGTGTATACATATTAACTACATTTGTTATGTGCAATACTTTTCCCAAATGATCTGAATTTCTTTTTAAAGAGTAAAACAGTTCTTCTGGGTTCACATTCATATAAAGTTACCAATGTGTCACTATGAGAAAGGGTGATGATAAGAATGAAGAAAATGGATTGCTGTAATGATAAATAATAACCTAAATAAAAACCAACTTGTATTTCTCACTTGATAGACTAGGACCAACGGAATAAAAGTTTTCTTATTAAAAGTGTCTATTTAAATCTTAAATGCTTAAAATAGCATTTTTTTTTTTGCATATGTGGCATTGCTTTTTCACTCTAAAAGTATACAAACATGTTTACAAGCATCTGTTGCAGTAACCGAACCTAAAAATTTAATATGCTGCATTTCAGCATTGAAGTACAACCTTCAATAACAAATGAAATCGAGAATACAGAGCAGCTGTGGCAAAAATGTGGTGTATTGGCTTATTGTAATACCAGCTGTATGCAATTTGTACTATATTTCTGAAATGTCATTAGTATGTCTCAGAAGTTTCATTTTCACTTGCTTAAGCCATTTGCTCACTGTGACAGACAATTCATAATTCACTGCATGTTTAAAGCTTGCTACATGTTTGGTTTTTTGTTTTGGTTGTTTTTTTTTTTCCCAAGGGAAACAGTTTTTGTTTCTTTGCACCTTACCAACTTATGTGCTGAATTTTTTGATATAAAAGGCAGTTGAAACTTGCCTAGTTCAATGTTAGAGTGATGGCTCTTTAATCAGATACCTCTGCAAAACTGGAGGTGCACTGGAGTGGAAGATGCTTCCTGTAGTACCTCTGCATTTGTAAATACAATTCACTTTCTGTAAAAGAAATTACAAATAAATGGAAGGACTGCATACTGTTTCACTGTCTGACATGCCAAAATGTAATGCCAAGGCATTCAGATTCAATAACATTTGAAATAATGTGTTAGTTTTCCAGTTTGAGAGTTTAAGTACTTTTCCGTTGTTTTATCCATTAGACATCTTTTATGAATTGTTGGCTCTCTCTTCAAAACGCTGTATGACTGTGTTGTTCTTGGTAGAGTTGACATTAATTGTGATAAATAGCATTTACTATGCATAAGATATATATACTACACTGAACTACAAGCCTACAACATAGAGGATTACAGGAGAAGAGAACATAATAGCTTGAAAATCTCTACTCCAGCCTATGATAGTGAAAGACAATCTTGCTGGCAAAAAAAAAAAAAACAAAAAGAGGTAATTGAAATTATAGTAGTTTTGTCAGGGATCTTCACTGGTCCTGATCCAGAATGTTCCTCATGAAATGTGACTGTTGGAAGTCGTGACTGTATAGGGGGGTGGAAGGGCAATGGTCATGTCAATTGTGGTACTTTAAATAATTCTCAATTGTGTCTCCGTTGTATCCCATGCCATTGGGGCGGGAGACAGGGGCTGTAAGTCTGTGTAAAGAGGATAGCTGCAGGTAGGTAAAAATAATGACCAGTTATACTAAAACTTTTATTTGTCCATTAAAAATAATTAACTTCCATTAAGTTAGGATAAGGAATCTCCATCCTAGCCACCTAGAAGGCATCTCCCTTTTGAATTGCCAGCCATGCCTGTTTGTGTGGACCATGTCCATCACTTATGATATTTTTCTGGTTCCCCATTGTTTCAGTTACAAACTGTATAAATCATTGCTTTTGTTACTATTTTATTAGTATTTTCATCTTTATGGAAAACAGTTTACATTGCCCCACTTCTGGTTTTGCTTAAAGAATTTTTCTCCAGTTACTGAATATAGAATTTAAAGATAGAACCAAATAAGAAGGAAATGTGTTTATTGTTTTGTCTGATAAAACTTCACTGGTGGTTACCTCTTGCTTTCAAATTAGCATTTCCAAGTTCTCAAATCTAAAAGGACAGTATTGGGCAGCTTCGTGTCTTCTGCAGTTTTTTAATAAATAAGAAATTTCGGTGTCTAATGCTGCTCCTTTAAGATATTACAGATTCAGAGATGCAGATTTTGCATACTTGAATTTCTTAATACTACTAGTATTAGGTCCAGATTTTCCCTTTCACGAGTATATTGCAACTGAAACAGCCTCTGAAGTGAATGACCTGATAGACTTGGTGATGTTAAGGGAAACCAAGGAAAAAGAGGGGTTTAGGCACATTTTTAGTTTTACTTAGTCTGTTCTTCTGAGAACCAATAATTTGGATTATGTTGTGGCAAACCAAATTATTGGGTTGCATTAAAGATTTAAGATCTCCTGAGCTTTCTCCTTTGCCCCCACATGCCTTTTCCAACTTTGGCATGTCTCATGTATGAGTGTTAGGCAGGAGGGATGTTGTAACATATTACTCCTGCCTTTCTGGTACCTATTCCTGGTACTGGCAATCCTCCCATGAGTAGAATGTAGGGATTTATGATGCTATAGCCTTTCCACATGATATAAAAGGTTTAGTTCAAAATTTGAAACCTTAATTTGTTTTATTTTGACTATGGCTTATTAATGACCCACTTATTTCTTATAAAGTAGTAGTAAAAGGGAGAAAATACTTTTTTGGACAGCCTTCAAAAAGCATAGTTGTTATCTGATGAGTATGTGGGGTGTCTGTCTCCTTTGTGCAGTAACACGGGTGAGACCATGGATGTCAAGAGTACTCCTCAGTAGTTATACCCTGTAATTGCAGTGAATTTTAGTGAAAATCAAGAATCTGAAAAGGCTATAATTTGAGCAGTAGTCACCTACCAACATGATTGAATAATAAAATATGACATAAACTTTCCTGGATGTTTTTCTTCTTTTGTTTTGCTACATGTCTTTAAGGCTTTTTTTCTCCCAGCAATAACTGTGATTTTTACACTATTGTGGCAAGTCTGAAATAAAACCACACAGCTAATTCTAAATGCACATAGAGAATCTAAATTTTAACGAGAAATATTTCCATATTATATTTACATTTACACTATATGTAAACTGAATAGTACCTTTTCTACACAGCAACAAATATAGTAACAACTATCGGCCTTTTTTAAGTAGTCCATAAATAACAAGGTTTTGAAGAGGTGTTCTTCAGAAGCAGTAGGGAAACATCCTGTCCAGTGGCTTCAGACCTCTGAGCTATAAATCATTTTTGTTAGCATTTCACTGATACACCCTAGTGCTTGATCTTGGCAGCTGTTTTACCTAGAAGGCAGAACTGAATGGAAATATGTAACGAACTTACTTCTATATTGTAAAACTTGAATATCTATGCAGAAAGGCTCTGGCTTTAAATGAAGAGAGACTATATACAGTAGAGGACTGCAATACAAAATAGGTACTTCAGTGTTTAACTTGGCATCACCAGATAATTTTATAATGTTCCAGTGTCCCCAGGGGCTGCAGATAGGTTAGCGTGTAATTAGATACTGTTGGATAACAGATTACTTCAATTGGTGTACAGAAACACTCGCTCTGCATGCTGTCATCCACAAATGCAAGGTGTTTATCCTTTTCATTTTCGTCTAAGCCATCTTGAAATACCTTAGATGTATGTAGATATATATTAATTTAGATAAGTAACATGGTTCAACTGACATTCAATAGCTTATTACTTTGGGATGACGTATTCTGAATTTGTAACCATTGTTCACATGTGAACCATGTGAACTTTTAGAACGGGTAGGAGGCAAAGACAGCACATGGGACTTAAAATACCTCAAGACTGTCTGTTCTATAACTTAACACATTACACGTGCTTGGATAAGCCTCCAGTCCTCCCTGCATACTTCTCCATCAAGTTGACATTACATGTTTTACCATATAAAAAGGAACGTGTGAACTGTTTTCTCTTTCTGGTTTAATATTTCCAAATAACCCATTTCATTCCAAACACTATTACCATCTGGTCTTTCTAATTGTGTAACCGTGAAAATAACTGAAAAGTTAGTTGTCTGTCTATACTGACAGTGAATCTTCTTGTGACCAACTTTGCCTGACTTGCGTTTTTCCTCACTTTGTACACAGGCTGGTTTAGCAGGAGCTCCAGCCCGGGCTGTTTCAGCAGTAAAGAATATGAATCTGCCAGAGATCCCAAGAAATATTAATATTGGTGACATCAGTATAAAAGTGCCAAACCTGCCCTCTTTTAAATAACATGGCTACTCCAGGTAAAACCAAGGAAGAAATGTAATAGAGATTTACCACAAAATTGTTTACTATATAAATAACATGTCTAACTTCTACTATTGGCATAAAACTCAAGGTACTGTATAGACATAATTTGAAAAATCAGTGTGTGGAGTTGAACGTTGCTTTTGTCTTGTTTGTGAAATTAAAGGAAATGGGTAGTTCCAGTGTGATTTCTAAATTACATTCCTGTGCCCTTGTAAGGCATATCACTGTGTCTCGGCTGCTGCAGTATTTTGGGAAAGTATTTTAAGATGTTCTTTACTTTGTATAACCTATAATGCTTAGGTTTTTTTGTATATTCACTAAGGTCTATGATTAGCGCATTCCTTAACTACTTCTGCTGTTTGTCATTATTATTTAAGACTTAAATGCAAATATTGCATGAAAACTTTCAACTCTTGTTTTGTTTAAATAAAATCATAACTAACTGAACTTCTAATTACCCGTTTGTCTGAAATCTACTCTGCAATAAATCATGTTATTTCCTATTCATGGAGCAAATTTGCTACATCTAAATACTGTTGTAGCAAGCATTAATGTTGTATTTTAATCTCTGAAGGAATTACATGGGGATACTATGTAGAACATACTGACTCTTTTCATTTCTCACAAAAGCTGTTGATTATCAGTCTGAAGGAAAAACTGCCTTTAGTGAAGTTCCAATGACTTCTGTTTACATATAGATGTTGAGAAGATACTTACACAATCTGATAGACTTTCTCTGACGGTCTGACTTTGTTTTGGGGAAAAAAGGATCTCTGCAGTTGCTGAAGTACAGAATGGGCTGATTAGATCAGGCAGCTCAGAACTGTAAATGTGTGTGTATCTCACGTGTGATAAAGGCACTTTGGAAAGATAAATGAGGATACTTTAATAGGGCCTCTGTGCCTGGTGGCTTTTGAGACTCTACTTCAAGAATGAGATTCTTGATATGGTCAAGACCTCAGAAAAACTAAGTGCTATCACCTTGGCGTAAGTTGCTCAGCTCTTGAACTCTTATGTGATTATAAAAAAACAAAAAAAAGGGGGATAGATTTTGGTTTTTATAATCATGCTTTTAAGCTCCGTGTGATGTACAAGTCTGTTTAAATGAACAATAAAAGTATCATTGGGATATTTAAGAATTCCTGTCATTCTCTTCTCGAAAAAATATATGCAGTTCATACGTCATAGGAAAATACAATACTGTTATCAAGGACAACACATTTCAGTAGTCTGAGACGTCCTGTGTTACTTCAGAAATTTGGATTTTATGTAAACCAAGCACTCTTTTCCCTCAAGTTGAATGTTAAGACATACCCTGTAGGATACTTGGAATCACATCCCATGGTAACTGATCTGTAGTAACAATCGTTGGTGCCCTTTGAGAGCATTGGAGAGGGAGAAAGAGAAATTATTTTTGAAGTACAAAATGTGATGCAGTCCAAGGAATTTTAATGTATTTCTTAAGGGACAGAAGAAGAAATGATGTACATTGTTCGTGTAACATTTAATAAGCATCAAGTAACACAATTTTATAAATGCTTTTGAAAACAGACTTGCTCTCTCCATACCTCTTTAAAAGAATATTGATTCTTCCAAATTACTTTCTTAGTTTCTGGCTTCAGGATGTTTTAGGTAGGGTTTAAATAGAAAATTGCCACTTTATCATTTCCACTGAAGAGATTGGATGGTGAAATGTGCAGCATTTTTTTTTTTTTCTTGCTATGAAGCAGAGTCTTCTTTAGCATTCCCAAGTTAGACAGCTTAGCTAGTACCAGTCTGGAACTGTTAAAATTTTACCTGCTTTTGCCAGCTTTCTTCTGTTTTTCAGCTTAAGTCATAGACCATGACTCGGTCAAAGAAAGTATGTTGAATATTTTCCACACTGTTCTCCCTTTGAGGATGTAGTTAGTGCTGCTGCCAAAGTATCAATAGGGAATTTTGAAACATTTGATACTGTAACCTACAGAGGGTTTTTCTAGCTATTTATGAAAGAAGGTAAATTTTGCAAATTCTTCCAAGTCCTCAATTTTTTGTCTCACTTCTTTCCCTCTGGTTTATTTGCAGATTTCTGAGCTTATGTAGTTAAAATAGTTTTCATTCCTAGCAGAGAAATGTTTCTGGGTTTTTGGGATCAAATATATTTCCAAATCTTTAGAGGAAATATGCCTGAGATGCATCTCAACATGAAGCATGTTTCAGATTAATTTCTCAACTTTTATCTGTCAATAGCCAGTCTTTCATTCATTTTAATAAACTAGATCTTAGCTTTTAAAAATTGCATGACTACTTTAAAGCTTTTCGTTTTTTTAACTTTGTGTTTTGCATTACTATTGTTTATGTTACTTTTCTCCTACCTGACAACATGGCTTCTGCTGGAAAGGATTCTTCTCTGGACAGCTCTTCTATAGACACCAGACTTTTCAAGAAGCTACACTGTTTGTGACTGGCCATCAAATACTTAGCACAAGGCTGTGACAAACAACTCAAGCAGAAATTATTTATCAGATTTGCACAGTAAAACTGCACTCCTTTCAAAGAGAAATTCTCTTTTGCATATGGAAGAGGTACTGTACAGAAAGCCTGAATGGTAATATTTTTTGTTAAATAAGTGCAGATGGTATGACAATGTGGGCTTCCTCAGGGTAGCTGAACCTGTTGGCACCCTTTGGCCAGAGCTGTGTCTTTGGTTTGCTAGGGAACATATTATTATCTTACCGCATCATTTGATGCTGCCATGCCTTAAACTAAAACCAGCCAGAGAAAGATGGGATACTTGACTGATAGAAATTGTGGAAATGGTGTTCTGACTCTTGCCCTTCTAGGGCTTGCCTTGTGTTGCAGATATTCATAGGCTTTCCACAGTGCTGATCTGCTTGTATTCGTCACCTTGATGAGAATGATGTGCCTTTCGAATACTCTGTCTTATTTCACCAATGCCCTCTTTACTACTGGTTGGGATTTAAAACAAATCAGCTGTGGGCAGTAAATGACCTTGATTATAAATGTAAATGTTTTTAATGCTTTTGTAACTGCAAAAAAAGAAATGCCCTTAACATATATATATGAGTGTGTGTTTGTGTTTATATGTATATATAACACATCAGCCTTTTGCATTACCTGTTCTTAAAAAAAGAAGTGGTCATCTTGAGTCATCCTTTAAGCTGCAGAAGCAGCGACTACCCTGTAATACTCCCACCTCCACAGGATCTGCCATTTTAGTGACATTCGTCAGGGCGCCAGCATGTAAGGATGGATCACTGAAAACCGGTTTTGCTAACTCTGGACATTTCCTAGATCTGCAAATGAAACATTATTAAACAGTAGCTTGAGACTATTTGACACTTCTGGTATCTGAGACACCTTGTGTTAATTTCCCTAACAAGTCTTACAAGGAACAGCTGAGGGAACTGGAGTTGCTTAGCCTGGAGAAAAGGAGGCTCAGGGGAGACTTTATTTGCCTCCAGAACTACCTGAAAGCAGGCTGTAGTGCGGCAGAGGTTAATCTGCTCTCCCAGGTAACAAGCAGTAGGAAACCTCAAGTTGCACCAGGGGAGGTTTAGGTTGGATAGTAGGAAAAATTTCTTCTTTGATAGAGTTGTGAAGCCCAGGAAAAGGCTGTCCAGGTAAGTGGTGGAGCCGCCATCCCTGGAGGTATTTGTAGTGCTTAGGCACATGTTTTTTTTAGTGCTGACTTTGGTTGTGCTGGGTTGACGGTTGCACCTGATGATGTAAAAGGTCTCTTCCAACCAGTTCTATGATTCTATGACATCACCTCTTTGCACAGACTGAGTATGCCTGTGGCTGCAGTACTAAAGGCATTTGAGTTGATTCATCATCCATCCAGCGAGACAGAGTGACAGCCATATTTGGGCCATACTCAACTGCTTTCCCCCCAAGTCTGGCTCTTCTGAAACTCAGCAGCTGGCCAGACAGCAGCACACACAGGTTCCAAGTGTCCCTTTCTGCTCTGGCTCTGCTGTCCAGCTCGCCAACAGGACTGCACCAGAAGTGGCGCAAAGCCCCCTCCAGATTCTCTCCTGAGGAGGACTAAAAACATCACCAAAGCCAGAGCTAAAAGCAGGCCTGTAATGATGACTGAGAGCTGCTTGGATGGACAAGTGTATGGTGTCTGTTTCCTTCTGACTTTCATGGTCCCATCCACAGACCCTCTTCTGATGCAGTTTTCGTCCCTCAGCCAGAAGACTTGCTGCAGGACACAAACTGAATTTCACAGCTTCAGATGTTTGCAGGGGACCTCCATGACCCGTGACCAATGTGTATGGCAGGATACCTGCATGATCAGTAGTCTGTGTGTGCATCTAAGAAACTTTTGCCTTTGATGTCACCTATGGTGACACCCACATCTTAGCCACCAAAGGCCCATCCCAACAAATTTGACCAAGCAATCTGCAAATGTCCATAGAGAGAAGCAAAACTGCAATGGACTTTGGATTCAAAATATTCTTTACAGTAATTTGATGTGCTGATGTGTATCTGGACAGCAAAGATCTTTCATGATTGCTGTGGTTTGGGGTCATGGCCGCCCCCAGAACTGTAACAGACGCTCTCTGTTAACCCCCTTCTCCCACCCCCGAAAGGGAAACAGAAAGGGAATAAGGGAGAGAGACTTATTGATTAGAAAAGGAAAACACATTTAATACTACCACTAATAATAATAGTAATAATGATAATAAAATGGAATATGTACAAATATGTACCAGATCAGTATCAGACCAAAAACTGGGGAGCAGCCCCCGGGGAGAGGGTCCCAGGCTGGGCTCAGCCACAGAGCGACTGGGCACAGGAGCTGGGTTCTGGAACTCAGTTCAGGAGCACAGGGCTCAGGATCCACAGGCAGGATGGATGGAGTCCTCCCCGGATGCCAGCCACTGCAGCAGAAGCAGCCAGCAGCCCAGCAGAAGGTGTTGGAAGGGGCGAGGGAAGGGCTTGCCCCTCCTGGTCCAGCTTTACTGGACGTGAGGGCTGTGGGAGGGAGTACCCCACTGGTGAATCTTGGGGTCAGTTATCCTGCCCGCTCCTCCCTTCAGGTGTGGGGTACTCTCTGCCCCCCTCCGTGTGGGATACAAGCTTATCAGTGGCCTTGGTCTGCATACAAATCCCTGGCAGTAACTCTGAACCACTGCTAAAACCAGACGGTTTGTGAACACGCTGCTAACTTCAGACACAGCAGTGAATTAGAAGAGCTTTAGCTAAAATATTTAAATCATTGAACAGAACAGCTCTGTTTTACCCCAAACCAGGACAATGATTCAAACAGCCATCCTCTTCCTGAGTGTGATGCTGTTTTACTTGATGTCAGAAATTGTTTGGGTCACCCTAGGACACAATTCATGGTTCTTTTCCTCCCTGGGACACCCTGGCATCTCGTGTATCAGACTAGCCTGCCTGTATATAAAGTCTGCTTCACCAGGGAGGGCTGTCTGTCTATCTATCTGCCTGTCATTCTTTCACGTCTTTCCAGGACAGGTATTCATCACAGGTAT